AAAAAAAAAAAAAGCTGAATTATTGTTTAACTTTGAAACTTTATTTTCAAGAAGTCCAGACATTGCAGAGTAATATATTTAAAAATGCTTAGTAACTACTTTGCTGTGACTTTTGAGATTTTTTGAAGTAAATGTCCTGTAATTTATTACTTGTACTTCTTACATACTGTTTTAAAATTTAAATTTAGAAATTCATGCTGAAGTCCAACTTAAGAATTACGGGAAATTTCTTGAGGAGTATACATCTCAATTGAGAAGAATTGAAGATGCACTGGATGATTCAATTGGTGATGTTTGGGATTTCAATCTTGATCCAATAGCATTAAAGGTTTGATTTTGTTTTATTTTTAATTTATGTATACATTTTCAGGACATACTGTATCTTGAAAACATAATTTTAAAAAATGGAATATACATTTGGCCCTTGAATAATGTGGGGGTTAGGAGTGCTGACTTCCCATGCAGTTGAAAATCTACATAGAACTTTAGACTCCCCAAACTTAACTAATAGCCTGCTGTTGACCAGAAGCCTTACCAATAACATAAACAGTCGATTAACACATATTTCGTATATGTATTATATACTTTATTCTTACGGTAAGCTAGACAAAAGAAAATGTTATGAGAAAATCACAAAGAAAATACATTTATAGTGCTGTACTGTATTTATAAAAAGATAAACCTGCATGTAAGTGGACCCATGCCGTTCAAACCTGTGTTGTTCAAAGGTCAACTGTATATTTTTATTATCTGGCATCTAGAGAACCAGAAGAAACTTGGAGAAAAATTGTGAATTTCCTTATCTTGAAGCCAGGCAGATGTGTGTTTTTCGTTTTTTGTTTTAATGAATAACACAGACTTTTGAGGTAGCCTTTGTTTTTCATCAAGAAAATGAAAAGGGTTGGAATAGAATATTCAAACTTTATTTGTTCCTTATTGAGATTATCTTACATATAGTGAAATGCATAGATACACAATATACTGTTCAGTGAATTTTTGTCAAACACATGTATCCATCTCACTCATAGTCTAAGGAAGATATAGAGTCCATCATTTTCCCTTATGCCATTTAGGGTATCTTAATGTGGGAGTAATTTTTTTCAGTTTTTATTTAAATTCCAGTTATTTAACATATAGTGTAATAATAGTAGTAGAATTTTATTTAGAGTAATTTTTTAATGTATGAAATAAGTCACTCCTGGGGAGCCTGGGTGGCTCAGTCGGTTAAGCGTCTGCCTTCGGCTCAGGTCCGTGGTCCCAGGGTCCTGGGATTAAGCCCTGTGTTGGGCTTCCTGCTCACGGGGCGGGGGGGCCCTGCTTCTCCCTCTCCTCCCCTGCTCATGCTCACTCTTGCTATCTCTGTCTCAAATAAATGAACAAAATCTTTAATAAGTCACTCCTGCTCTGTTCCATTTCGAGATCATTCTATCTTGTTTTATCTTTGAAACTAGCCTGTTACCACTTAAATAATAATTAACATTTACTGAACATTTATTATGTATTAGACACTGTCCTGAGTTACCTATTGACTTATTTAGTAACAGTTTTCTTGAAATTCACATATCATATAATTCTTTGGCTTTTAGTGTATTCACAGAATTGTGCAGCCATCACCAGACTCAATTTAAGAGCACTTTCACCACCCCCAAAAGAAATCCTATACCAATTAGCAATCAATCCCCATCTGGTGTGTGTTAGTGCTAAGTACAGGGTCCAAGACAAGTTTAAATAGAATAGGGCTAGACTCAATTTGAATATCTAAAATTTCAATGATTTTTTTCAAATTAAAAAGAAATATTCTTTCCCTTTGTTTCTATAGCTTTTGCCTTATGAGCAGTCTTCCCTTTTGGAACTCATAAAGACTGAAAACAAGGTACAGATTTCTAAACCTAAAAATCTATTTTTTAAATGCTTTAGTTATCTGCTATAACTTATCTTTTTATTTATGTTTTTCCTCATGAAACTAGGTCTTGAACAAAGTCATCACTGTTTATGCTGCACTTTGTTGTGAAATCAAGAAATTAAAGTATGAGGTAATTATTTGTACTCTTAAGTTGTTAAAACATGATTTAAAAGCAAATATATGCTTATATGTATAGTGTACATAAAGATTTATTGCATGCTGAATGAATTGTTTAATACTAATAATAGTGATTACCATTCACTGAGTGTACTTACTGTGTGCCAGACACCATACTAACCCTGTTCATACTTAGAATGAGGCAGATAACGTGAGGAATAGATGAGGAAACAGGCTTAAAGAGTCACTTTCCTAACATTTTACTGGTAGTAACTATTCGAGTCTGGGTCTATTTACCTTCAAAGTCTGTGTTATTTGCCATATATATTGGCTTTCTAGATATAAGTGATTTTTTACTTTTTTTTTTTTTTTTTTTTAAGTAGGCTCCACACCCAGCATGGAGCTTGAACTCACGATCAAGTCTCATGCTCTACTGACTGAGCCAGCCAGGCGCCCCTAGATACAATAAATATAACTGATTTTTTAAAAAACCTTTGAATTTTTAATATGTTTTGCATTTTCTTAGCCATGGGTCATTAAAACTCTGGTAGAAGTTGGTAAACTTCCTCTTTTTTTCTGTATCTTTTTGATACTATGTGGTTGCTTTCTATCTCCCATGAACTAGTGGGAGGATGTGGGACAATTAGAGTGGTCAGAAAAGACAAAGGCAGGGGTAAAGAAATTAAGAAATAACTTTGAGTATCAGTGATATCTTTGGCACTCTAAAGATTGAATTTACCTGTTTTGTAAGCAGTTTTTTAATTTAAATGGATTTGTATATGTGATCTAGTCCTCTGATTATTAAATATGGATAACTAAGAGAGCCTAGGAATTTAAAAACAGGGTAGCAACCTTTAAAATTATTTTAATTTTTTTTTTAAACAGGCTGAAACTAAATTTTATAATGGTCTCTTGTTTTATGGAGAAGGAGGTAAGTTTTAAAATTTTACATTGTAGTGTCATGATGCCTTTTTTGAGGTTGAGATTTTGAGATTGAAAACTTAACTTCATTCCAGGACTACCATGATTATGTAATGTATTACTGTGAGAAAATAAGCATTCAAATTTTTTGTTGGTTTACATGTTTGATAAGCAGGTAGAATAAGCCTGGGCGATGAAGCGGCAGCAAATTCTCTAAAATTTATTTGTGGTATTTTTATAAGTTACAAAGCACTGTGGCTAGATAAGGATTTTCCTTGAATTCATTAAATAGTGAAACAGATGGTTACTTTTAATTGAATGATTAATGATTGTCTCATGTGTCTTTTCAGTATAAAAATTCTGTTTTCAATACTATGCAGATTAGAACATATACTAATGAATAAAAATTATTTTTCTTTTTGGGTCTTGACTAAGTTTAAATTAAAAAATTGAAATACGATTCTTCATGTTACCTTTTAAAGCTACAGATTCCAGCATGGTGGAAGGTGATTGCCAAATTCAAATGGGAAGATTTATTTCATTCTTACAGGTAACTGTTTTTTACTTATTATTATTATTTTTTTAAGTTTGGGTAAATTACACACAATTAAAAAAGATTTCTGACACCTTCAAATGCTAAGAATGTGTATTTTGAAGGGTAGGACACTTAGTTGGCATTGGATTATAGTTAAAGAGGTCTTAATTCCTGAAAGGTTTTCATAGCATTTTATGGAAATAAGATCTCAAAGTAAGTTTGGTTCTTTTTTTTCTTTTCTTTTTTTAAAATAATTTCATTTGTGGACAATTTGTCACCATGCCTTTTAAAATAATTTAAGGGGCACCTGGGTGGCTCAGTTGGTTAAGCGACTGCCTTCGGCTCAGGTCATGATCCTGGAGTCCCGGGATCGAGTCCCGCATCGGGCTTCCTGCTCAGCAGGGAGTCTGCTTCTCTCTCTGACCCTCATGATCTCTCTCTCTATCTCATTCTCTCTCTCAAATAAATAAATAAAATCTTTAAAAAAATAATAATTTAAACTTCGTGTCAAGTAGGAAAAGGTAATTTATGTCAGAAAAAGTTGTTAGTGGAGATGGTTACGCTAGTACATGAGCAGTGATAAGGTTTTTTAAAAGTAGCACTCAATGCTTCTAACCAGATGTTTCAATCAGATCAAATCAGATGTTTTCATCACTGCAGTTTTAGTTATTCTAGGTCTTTGGTTTAGTTTTGTCAAAAAAATGAAAGAACTTTCTATTTCTTCTCTCTCCATTATAAAAGCAATGCTAGTACCATATGACAAAAGCAAAAATTGGAGATAAGGAAAAAAACACCCCTAATTCCACCTACCTCCTGATTGTTAGGTTCAAGATTTGATGTATTTCATTTAATCAAACATACTAATATATTGTTCAGCTCATTTATATCTTTACTACCTTTTTTTGTCTCCTTGTTGTAATTGAGAGCATTTTGTTGAACTCGATCTCTGTTATGGTATGTGTCAGTCAGGGTCCAGTCCAGAAAACAAATCACAGTATTTCAGAAGAGGAGATTTGATATAGAGGATTGGTTATATAAGAGTTGGAGGGCTGAAAGAAAAGAGGATAGTGAGGTCATCCAGAGGAAGCAGATACCACCTCTACATCAAGAGGAAAAAAAGGGGGAAAGAGTTGGGGTTACCAGACTCTGGGAACTATGAGCAGGAGCCCCGTGTAGTTACGGCTCATACCTATGAAGGAGGCAGCGCTGCCTAGCAGGCTGGTACCAGTGAGAGGGCAATGCAAGGTTAGTTCTGGAGTGCTGAAAGAAGCTGGAGGTGGAGCAAACTGCCATTGCTGGGGTGAACTCTTATGCTGATGCAACAGCAAGAAGTAGTAAGGATGTCCTTTTCCTGCCTTTAGTGTCCTTTTAGTGCCACCTGTTGGCAGAACCTAACAGGAAGCCTACTGGCAGGAGTCTAAGAAATGTAATTCGCAGGTCCCAGTGAATGTGTCAGTTTCTTCCTCTAGTTTTATCAAATTTTGCATTTCTTATTTTCAGGATATTCTGTTTGGTGCGTGCAAGTTTAGAATTGTTAATCATTCTTTATAAATTGAATCTTTTATTATTATGTGGTGACCCTGTTAAACTATAATTATGTATATAATGTGCAGTTACGTAAATGTGTATCTTATATAATAGCTGTGATAATGCTAACAAACTATTTTGTCTGATATTCTCACTGCTCCAGCTCTGCTTTAGTTTACATTTTTTTTTAATTTATCTTTTTATATTCTCTCAACCTTTCAGTATCATTATGTTTTAGTTGTATTTTTTTAAAACCATGTGTCTGGATTTTGCTTTATTCAGTCTGAAAGCCTGAAAATCTCTTTTAATTGGTTAATTAATTCTATTTCTATCTTATGTAAATAGTCTGTTATACATTTGGACTTGTTTCTGCCTTTTTTACTTTGTGCCTTCTTTCTGAATTTTCTGTTCTTTGCTTTTTATTGAACTTTTAGAAGTTTAATAAGAAAGGTAAAACTGGAGGTATTTAAGTAAAATTGAAACGCATTATTTTCATTTTCATACATTTTAAATAGTTTTTGGATCTCATCGACAGCTGCATAAAATTTCATTTTTAAACCTTCAACAAACGTTTTAGAAGCCTAGCATATGTTAGGAACTGTTCTTGGTGCTGGGGATACAGCAGTGCACAAAACCAATGGAAATTCCTGTCCTCGTAGAACTTAAAATTTAGAATAGCCACAGCTTTAATCAGGTTTTGAATACTTTAGGATACAAACTGTTGTTTTAGGTTTAAGCATTGAGAGCTTCTGAAAAGAAATTTTCCGAAGGTGTGGGATATGGTAGATGCGAATTAATTATTTAATGACAGACATATTCCTGCAATAATTAATATTTCCCTTTCTGTGTGCCAGGCTTGTTTATAGATAAAGTTAAAGGTAATAAACATTTGAAGTTATTTCAGAGTGACTTCTGGAGAGCCTTTTTCCTCATTATCCTACTTTCTAAATTGGCAGCTTTTGAGCTTTTTCATTCAGATGTTCATTTATTTATTCATTTAATAGGACAGAAATTTATTGAGAAACAGTGGCTATTTAAAGAAGGAATAAGATGGTCTCTGTCATTTAAGAATTACATGAGTAACTAAAATATAAGACTTAAAATAGAAGTATGAATGAAATGCTGTGGGGACAAAGCAGAAATGACCTTGTGATGCAGGAGAGGAGTTAAGAATCAATTGCTTGAAGGATGCTTGAAGTTGTCTGGCTGCAGGTTAACTGGAAACTGTTTGGCTTTTGTTTAATATTGTTACCATAAAATTGAGAAATGGTGATATTTAAGAAGCAACTATGTAACATATACTCAACTTGTCATTTCAGGAACTGTCTTGTTTTGTTACAAGGTGCTATGAAGTGGTGATGAACGTAGTCCATCAATTGGCTGCCCTCTATATCAGTAACAAGTAATGGATTTTATAAATATTCGTGCATTTATAATAGAGATGCAGGGAATGCTTTCTAAAACTAGCCAATTACCTGAAATAGTTTTTTGTTTGTTCATTTGTTTACTCATTCTTACATTCATTTATTCACCATCCTTTGAACACTCATGTTTCAAACACTACTTAATGTGTAATACATAGGTTAATAAGACAGTTTCTGCCATGGTGAATGAGTTGTTATCTGTCTGAATAAGAATGTTGACAGAATATACTTAAATTTGATTTTATAGGAAAAGGCTAACATGGAATTAGAACATGTACCAAATTCTCTCTCCTTATTTCTCCTTTATAGTGACTGTTCCCTGGCTTATTATCTGGGGGAGTGGGACCAGGGAATCTACACTGAAAAAATTTTGGTTTTATTCAAATGATCTTCCAAGTTTGGGAGCCACTGTTCTAAATCAGGAAAAATGATCAAATTTTCATAGCCATTACTGTTCTTAGGACCACAAAGTAACATCTCACATTTGATTAATATTTTATCCTTAAAATTTTCACCATTTACTATTTAATTATAATCTTACAGTAACGTTGTTTAGTTATATGACAAGGGGTTCTCAATTATGAGAAGAAGTGATTGAGACCCAGAGGAATTGTATAAGATTCCATAGCAATTTAGATGCTGTTCTTTGATCACCAGTCCATTCATTGTTGTTCTTACTGTACCAGGCTGCATCTTAACTCTTTATGAACTGGAAGACTGTGTAACTGTTTCTCATTCTCATGTTTTTCTCCTCAGCCAGGTGTTTATTTTGTGTTCTGTTCTTTCACTGAAGCTGTTCTCATGGCAGGAGGGAATGAGAGCATAGCTCCCCTAACCCCTGCAGTACCTGATGTGTAATTCAAAGAGGACTCCCCACCACCACACCCTGCCCAAGAAAGATGAAGTTTATTTGTATTTTATATTTAATTTTTAAAATATTCTATCTTGTGGAATATCCGCATGTGCTTTGATATACAAGTACTATTTTAAATAATTTACTGTTGAGTAGAAGATGTCTAGGAAATAAAATTGAATTATCTCGGGGTTTTTGACTTTAGTACAATGTTGGTTGTATGCATTGTTTTTCAGTAGGAATGAGAACTCAGAAATAAACCTGATTAGTTTCCACATGCCAGTTTGGGTAGGATAATAAAATGGTTGGAAACTGAGAAATTCTGTTTAGAAAAAAATGAATATCAGTTTTGTTATTTTTCCACCTCCATCCCAAACTCAGTCCTTTAGGTTTAAATGACTAGGGTTATTCATGGGCCACATATTGTCATTTCCCTACCCATTGAGTTAGGTGTAGGCAAGGATAGCCCTGACTCTGTATATACAAGTTAGTTCTCTTCTTAGGAAAGTGGAGTAAGGTCTCAGAAATTCTAGTGATGACAGCCTAAATAAAGATACATAGGTGTTAAAAATCCCAAGACCTTCTGCTGCTATGTGTTTTCCTCAAAATAAAAGTGAACTGTGGTTAAAAAAAAAAAAAAGTTTTTTTAATTGGATGTTATTTTATTACAGGATTGCACCCAAAATTATAGAGACAACTGGAGTTCATTTTCAGGTAAAAGTAATTTAAGTTGATCTGTAAAACTATAATTTTTACTATATTTTGCTGTGGAGTTTATATGATTGGGGAGTACAACATTACAGCAAAACTCTTAAAGGATTTTTTTTTTTTTTGCTTTTGTTCTCTTTTATCTGTGAAGTCGATGAGGCATTACTGACCCGCTATCAGTATAACTCTTAGTTTTTCCCAGTAGTGGCCCAGTGCAGGTTCTCTAAGTGGTCTCTTTGGAGCGTGAAGCAATTCTGCAAAGTCACAATTAAGGATGATATAGTGGGCAAAGCATTTCTCTATTTAAAGCTTATTCCATCTGAGGATTAATAGTTTCATCTGTATGTTAATAAACTGATTTATCCACTGCTTTAATTCAGTAATAATTAGCCTAGTGTGTTTAACTTTAAAAATCCACAGGAAGCTTAACTTGTAACTAGTGATTAAATGATAACCATTAAAGGTTTTTTGACAGACTATGTATGAGCACTTGGGAGAGCTGCTAACAGTTTTGCTTACCCTGGATGAAATTATTGATAATCATGTCACATTGAAAGAGCACTGGACTATGTACAAAAGGTGAGCCAATTAAAATGTTTAAGATAGTCTCTTATTTTGTATAGTTAATGTACTAGTAAAAAGGAAATAAATGTAAATAGTGCAGATCTTTTAAAAGACCTGGAAATCTGTATTTAGAAGGATCTCATGTCAAATGTTCTTATGAATACGGTAACCATTTTTAAATTTCAGATGAGCTTGTTTGAGAGTATGGTATACCTGTATAAAGCCTCCTAATTCTTAAAGTATGGTAGAATGTTAATTTGAGTACCTTAGAACTCAGATTAATTTTTCTAGGGTTCTGTTCAAGTGACAGTTGTTTTTCCTGAACTTGGTTTTATTTCATTGTATATTCTTAGACTTTTTTAAGTCGAGGCATCTTAATGTTGTTCATCTGGAATCTAGAGAGTACCAGATATCTGAATTTAGGATGATATAAAAAGGTATGATTAGAAAATTAAATATATTAGCATTGTTTTTATTCACATTTTCAAATGTGTAGAGCCAAACAAGAAATATAAATATAAAATTTTGATTTCTTGGAAAATTTTCAATTGAAAAATTTATTAGGAAAATTGAAGGTCTTTCTCCTAATCTTCCATAAGGTTACTGAAATCTGTCCATCACAATCCTTCAAAATTTGGAATTCAGGAAGAAAAACTAAAGCCATTTGAAAAGTTCTTGCTGAAGCTAGAAGGGCAGTTACTTGATGGAATGATATTTCAGGTATGAGAGCTGTATCAGGCTATACTAAATGGGCTCCTTAGTTGATCCAGCTCAGAACTATGTATGACGACGCTTTCATAGCGTACTGTTGAAATATGTGTTCTTTAAAAGTGCTGGGGCTTAAAGGGCTTAAGACATTGTTAGTGTACTAAAATATAATTATTTTAGTACCTAGTAGCAAATAAAATTAATAGTACTAGTTGTATTTGGGGGTAAGGTTTTTTTTTTTTTTAATTACGTGAAAAGATAAAACTATTCAAGGATTAAGATCTAAGCAGTTGTGTTAATGTTGTTAACCTCTAGATTTGGGTTTGTTATACTACCTTTTAAAAGTCTTTCATTCTTCCTAGGCTCAGGGAATATAATTTGGGTTTGTGCAGGCCAGGTAGCTTCCTATCATTTAGTAGCTTTTTAAAGCTTAAATTAATTAAAATGAAAGAAAATTTCACTTTCCCCACCACTTTCAAGTGCTTACTAGCTGTATATAATCTAATTATTGCACCATACACCTCAAACTTATATATGTTATATATCAGTGATATCTTAATAAAGCTGGGGGAAAAATAGCCACAGTTAGTTTGTGGCTAGCTATTGTATCAGCACAAATGTAGAACATTTCTGTGATCACAGAAAGTTCTGTTGGCTAGCACTGCTTTGGGTAGTATTCATCAGAAATTACAGTATATTTAAAATCCATTTCAGGGTTATTTTTAACATTTTACATAATCACAATTTTTTTTTTTAATTGGTGTATAGTGGACACACAATGTTATGGTAACTTCAGGTGTACAACATACTGATTTGACAAGTCTATACATTATGTTATGCTCAGGATCACAATTTTTACAGATCGATCCCAACTCTTGTTTATATCAATTTAATGGCTAGTGTATTAGGTTCAGAAGGAAATTTTTTTGTCCTTGATTCTTTTTCCAGGAGACATTTTTTTTTTTAAGATCTTATTTATTTATTTATTTGAGAGACTGAGAGCGCACGAGTTAGGGGAGGGGCAGAGGGAGAGGAACAGGCAGACTCCCCGCTGAGCGCGCAGCCCGACATGGGCCTCTATCCCAGGAGCCTGAGATCATGACCTGAGCCCAGGTCAGACACTTAGCTGACTGAGCCACCCAGGTGCCCCTCCAGGAGACATTTCTATACATGCTGTAATAAAGTGCTAGGAAAGTAATTGTAGTCAGAAAAAATTTGCTCTTAAAAGTGCACAATAAAATAATAAAACATGTTTTCCAGAGTTTCATCAGATATGTCTTATATACATCATTGAATAACCCCATGTATATCTCTTCATGTAGAATTATGGATTTGTGGGGCGCCTGGGTGGCTCAGATGGTTAAGCCTCTTGCCTTCAGCTCAGGTCATAATCTATAAGGCCTGGGATGGAGCCCTGAGTCGGGCTCCCTGCTCAGTGGGGAGTCTGCTTCTCCCTCTCCCTCCACCCCGCCCTGCTCATGCTCTCTTTCTGTCTCTCAAATGAATAAATTCTTAAAAAAAAAGAAAAATAAATGGATTTGTGGTTCAGTTTTATTGCACTAACTGGTACTCAAATAGGTACGTACATACATATTTTCCATTCATAAGGATTTAGATATTAGATGACATTAAGGTAAAAACTTGAGCCTCATTGTTAGTAAAATTAAAATGATGAATGTAGAAGTTTATCACACATACTATATTTAAATCTGTTTCATAGTTTATTATTCAGGGTCTAAATTTCTCTTTAAATGTTTCCTCTTTAGGCCTGTATAGAACAGCAGTTTGATTCTCTCAATGGAGGAGTATCTGTGTCAAAAAATAGCACTTTTGCTGAAGAATTTGCGCATAGTATTCGCTCAATTTTTGCAAATGTAGAAGCCAAACTTGGTAATGTAAAATGCATTTTAAACTTTTTGTTGCTAAAGTTTGCATTTCCTTGAACATAGAACTTAAGTGTATTTGTTCCAATTTTCTCTCATGCTGTTGTTTTTAAGGAGAACCTTCTGAAATTGACCAGAGAGACAAGTATGTTGGAATTTGTGGACTTTTTGTACTGCATTTTCAAATTTTTCGAACTATTGATAAAAAGTTTTATAAGTCTTTGTTGGACATTTGTAAGAAGGTAAGAACTTGGAACTTTTATTTTTTTCAATTTGAATAGATGAAAAAGATTTTGGATTAAATTGGATATTCAAAAATGTATTTTATTCCTGCTTACAAAAGTACTAATTTTTGTAATACATTGTAATAATTATAAAAATAATATTGTAGTATTCATTTTTAAAAACCAAGCATTCCAGGAATAAGTAATACACTAAATGGAAGTAGTGCATAATTCCACATCATATAAATACCTGTTCGTGGAGGTTTTTTCAGATTTTTTTCCTATAAATTACTTCCTATTATTGTTACTACTTTTTTCTCTTCTTTTTCTTCTGTTCTCCTCTTCTTGCCATTCCTTCTCATTATTGAAGTAGAAAAAAATTGAAATTGATTTTACATCTTTGCTATTTCCATGCTGTGACATCTGATTTAAAAACTGAAAATTTAGTTTGTGCGTAAAATCAAGTGATATGTGACCGTGAGTACCCAGCCATCTTGGGTCTTTTATTTTTTCACTAATGTAGAATAAAAGTAAAAGTCATGAGGATTCAAGTTTCTCTTTGCTTTTTGCATATTTTTATCTGAAAATCTGTAAGAGTGTGTGTGTGTGTGTGTGTGTGTATTTAGTAGTTAGGCAGAATAAAATTATTTTCATGCTCCACATCAGATATTGGAATGCCTTAATTGTGCCACAGTAAGATAATTTGTTTCATAATCTATTAATGATTATAAGTTGTCTTCCACTGCATATTGTAGAACTATTAAATAGCTTATTGTTTAGCCTGCATTTATTAATTTCCCTTCCTTGCGTTTACTATTTCAGGTACCAGCCATCACTCTAACTGCTAATATTATTTGGTTTCCTGATAATTTTTTGATCCAGAAAATACCAGCAGCTGCCAAACTTCTAGACAGAAAAAGTCTTCAAGCCATTAAAATACACAGAGATACTTTCCTACAGCAGAAAGCTCAATCACTTACCAAGTAGGTTTTATAAGTACTCACAATGAAAATATTTAGATACTTTGTATTCTTGGATCTTATGTTGACTCTAAATATGTGGAAAACATTTGATTATAAGAACAAATAATATTTATTACCAGAGAAAAATTTGGACAGTCTCTAGGAGACTTACTTTTTAGGAGTTGTTTTGTTTTGTTTTAAATGATTTAGGTTTAAACTCTGTTAAAGATGTAGGAAAATTATACTTTAAGGAGATGTATGTGTGTGTACATATGTACCCATATATACATATATTTGCACACATATTTGCATACACAACTTTTTATCAAATACATTAAATATTTTTTGTGTAAAGTTCCTGCAGTAGATGTCATTTGATGACATTAAAAATATTGTGTGTCCATGATTCAGTGATGGTTTTTAGAGGAGTTGATTTTAATTTGATGTACTCCTTTTTTTAAATTTTTATTTTTATGAAAGTAATATATGTACATATTTAAAAAATCAAGAAGTACTAAAAGTTTAAATGGAAAAATAATTGTCCCCAGCCCACTTTCCCCCTGTACCTGAGTCCTATTCCCTAAAAGAACACTTTTAACTTCAGTTTCTTCTGATAGTTACATTCTTACATTTTGTCTAAGTCTTACTATGCAAAATTTCAAATATACACAAAGTAAGAGAAAATAGTATAAGGCCCCCCCATGTTCTCATCACCTAGATTCAATATTTAAATTTACTGCACATTCTTGAGTACACTACCAAAATCACATTGACCTGAATGAAGATTTTAAGTGAAGTGACCCAGGACTGTGCCACTGGCCCTGTGCTGGACACAGTTTTTATCTGTGACATGGTTAAAAGGTAATAGGGAAATTTATCTTCTTCCTTTTGATCTTGACCATCAAGGGGAAATTGGGCCACTACTGCAGAATGTGGGGGGAGGAAGAGTATGTCTGGAATATAGGCGGTCCCCTGAAGCATCTCTTAGTACTCCCAAGTCCTGTGATTAAAGTCAGTGGAAAAATGACAGTTACTCAATTCAGGCAGGATTACTCGCAGCAGAGATTTCATAGCTCTCTCATACATTTTAAAACAGACCTGAGAAGGGAAAAAGACATAGTTTGGATTTAAGGAAGTGAATTCAGTAAGATGGAGAGACAGGGATCAGGTTTAGTAGCAGTAAATAAAAGATAGGGATATTTTGATTATCAGAAGCTTGATATTCTTTAACAGTGTAATGTAGTTGCTAAAATGCCAATACATACTTGAATTACATTAATAACTCTTCCTGGGTTATGGAAACTGATAGTTATAGTATCTACGCCATGTGAATTGGTAGTTTTGTTCAATTTTTATTGGTCACATCATAGTCAGTATTTGGTGGTGTCACATTTTAAGAGGGACACAAAATGCAGCAACCCTAAATGAAGCTGATCAGGATATGTCAGAAGACCTGACAACCATGCCCTTTGAAGAGTCTCTATATAGTTTGGCCTTTAAAAGAGAAATCTGAGGAATGTTATGGTGAACTCCTTAAATATTTGAGGGGCATTCAGGTAGAAGAGGGAACAGATTTGATCTCTGTGGCTCCAGAAGGTTGAACTAGAACCAAAAGATGAAGATGACAGATAATAATAATCACCAATATTATTGAGCTCTTTGTAGCAGGCATTATGCTAAAGGCTTTAAACACTTTGTCTTACACAAACCCTGTAACAATCTTCTCATGTGGAAAATAATAAAGGTCACAACTAATAATAACCTGGTCCTTTCTATAAGTCAATAACTAAACTATTCCATGCACTTCACATGTATCATCTCTTTTAATCATCAGAGAATCTTATGAGGTAGCTACTGTTGTTATGGCCATTTTATAGGTCAGATAATTGAAGTACATTAAACTTGCCCAAATTTAAGCAACTAGTAGGTGGCAGAGCTGGACAGCCCTAACTCTAGAGCACAAGCTATTAACTGCTACTCTATAGTAGTAGTATTTTTATCCCATTTTTGGATAAGGAAGATGAGGCTTAGAGAAATGAACTTTGCCAGGTCACACAGCCAAGCGCAGGTCAGAGAACATGCGGACCTGCACCAATCCTACTGTAGAGCGTTTGCAGCAGAGTCGTGTAGGCTGTTCTGAGAGGTAATGTGCTCTTTCCCTAGAGCTGTGTAGGTAGACTGTAGATGACTAGTAGTCCAAGATGCTGTAGGAAGGGAGGCTTATCAGGTGCGAGACCGAATAAGTTGACTTTCAATGACCCTCCCCCTCCACAGTAACATTTTATGTTTCTAAATTATTTGATTCCAAAGATACATAGTCACCATAGAGCTCCAGGGAGCTAAAAGGGATAGTGTCCTTTTCAGTCTCCTTGCAGTTCTCCCAAAGAAACATAAAATTCACTCTACTGAAATGAAACCCAGAAGAGGGGAAACAGTGTGGTCAGCATGAGTTTTGTCTAATGTTTTAGGAAAAGTTGGAGTTACTAAGAGCTATCCCAGTCAGGTTCCAGAGTTCATTATACAAGTGAGAAGGGAGCAGTGGGGGACAGTTTCCCTGCCCCCACACTATGCACTAGACTCTAACTGGCCAAGTGCCCCAGCCACGTTCTTGCCTGGAGTCCAAGGTTTATAGTTTGGTTGCTGCATTTTGCTTTTCATTCACAACCATTTCAACACTGGAAATACTGACTTTAGAGGATAGAGGTATGAACCTTCATTTCAAACCTCTGTTGACATTACAAGTGTTGACACTGTTTCGTGTTTTTTATTGGGACAGGAAATTTTTTCTCACTAGTGTTTTTCCTGTTTGTACTTTGAAATGAAGCTGACCATATGACAGACCTTTGGCTATTTTTGGATACCCTTTGTCAATTAACTTGCTTTTTAAGGCTTGAAGCAGTTTCATTTTTACATATTTGCAAGAGATGAAGATCATCTGGTGTCTGGGTGTAGGAGTGATGGGTGGAGTAACAAGCAAACCTCTGCTTTATTCTGCATAGTCTGATCTAAAACTGAGTGAGTGCCTTTGACTGTGTTATTATCCTTCTTCATGTTAGTGATTACTGTCAGGGAGCACTCCATAATCTAGGCCTCTTCCTTCTGTCCTTGCTTATGATTTTTCTATCCCTCCTGTATAGTCTATCCCTGCTGAATACTGATCACAGCCTCCTCAAAAGTGGAGGCATTGCCCTAGGACCTTACTCTTTCTCTGTATTCCACACTTTTAAGTAGAATAATCCACAAGTCAAATAATAACCCACAAGTCAAATAATGTTAGCGCCTTTGGAGGCAAAGCCAAAAGTACAACTGTCAGTGTTACTTGTTTAATGGAATCCTGGCTCAGCAGAAATTTTTCTGAGATTTGATGCTGGGGTATCATGTCCTTAAGACAGTCACGAAAAATTTTGGTGTAATCCCTCTTCAGGCTGAGTTCTTGAGATTGTCAGACTGCTTGGCAGTATGACTGGCAATAAACTCAGTGTGGGATTCTGATCTCAATCAAATGAGTCTCTTCAGTCCCTTGCCCTGAGACCTATCCTCTAGCTGATTCTGACTGGCAATAATGAGATGTTTCTCTGACTGAAGGAGGTTTTTTGTTTTGTTTGTTTGTTTTTTTAAGGTTTATTTGTTTTAGAGCAAACTGGAGTAGGGGTACGGGCAGAGGGAGAGGGAGAAAGAATCCTTAAGCAGACTCCCCACTGAGCGCGGAGCCCGATGTGGGGCTCCGTCCCAGGACTCTGGAGATCATGACCTGAGCCGAAATCGAGAGTCCTCGGCTTAGTCAACTAAGCCACCCAGGTGCACCTGAAGGAGGTTTTTAGAAAGAGTTGGTAACGTCAGATCCCGCAGAGGGGAATTGTTCATTTTTTTTCACACTAAATCTTTAAAGTGTATATTGAACAGTTTCTGGGCTAAAAGTTCCCATCTTGAGCAATTTGAGATGCACTGATAGAGTGATTCAGTGTTTGTAATTGGCCTCTGTAGGAAAATTATGTTACTGCTTTAGTGTTTCCTGATGGGAAAGCTTCCTAGATTTGGACTTATATCTTGGCTTGGCTATGTACCAGTTGTATGATCTTGGGCTTGTTATTTAACTTCTCTGTGTATCAGTTTCCTCTTCCATAAAATGGAGATCATAATACCTACCTCATAAGGTTAATGTGAGGATTGAATGAGTTACTTTGTGTAAAGTTCTTAGAACAGTGGCTGGCATATAGTAAGCATTCAGTAAATGCAGCTTTTATATCCAGATTCTGACTACTTCCAGTCTCCCATTCTGGTTCAAGTTGTTATCCCCTTTCTTCTGCATTATCACAGTAGCTCCCTGAGTGATTTTCCTGCTATTACCCTTGTCCCCTTTATAGTTTCTTTTCAACATATCAGCCAAGGTGATATTGGTCTTCTTCAAAGTTAGGTCAAGTCACTCTGCTCAGATCCTTTGGTGGCTTTCCACTGAAATCCTCCCTATAAATTCTTACATAAATCCTGTTCTACTCCCCACCTTTCCCACACTGCCCCCCAACCCCTCTACTTCTCTGATTTCCTTTTGTTTTCTCATCCCTGCTCTCTGACCTCCAGCCGAACTGACTTCTTTGTTATTACTTGAACATGCCAGACATACTTCCTGTCTTAGAGCGTTTGCATTTGTTATTTACTTTCCTAGAATTCTCTTCTCATATATTTACACGGATTACTCATTCATCTTCTTCAAATCTTGGCTCAAAATCATCTTTTCAATGAGCCTGCTTTGATCACTGTATTTAAAATTGTATCTGCCACTCAAGTCCCTGTCTCTTTTCCCTGCATTTTTTCCATAGCACATATCATTTAACATCTTACAGATTTTAATTATTGATTTCTTTATTATGCAGCTCTCCTTTCTAGAATGTAAGCTTCATTGTGGCAGGGATTTTTATCCATTTTGTTTACTGCTAACTTTTGTTTTTAGTACTGAGAAACAGTGCCTAGCCTGTATAGGCATTCTCTAAACATTTGTTGAATGAGTAAGTTATATATGTATGTAGGATGTCTATAGTTTGAAAACCGGAAAGGTGGCTGCTGCAAGGAAATATTTTATCCCAACCAGTTCAAAGAAATGGAAGTAAATTTTCTTTCCTGTGCTGAGTAACCACAATATTTTCTTTTGTTAGAGATGTACAGTCTTACTACGTCTTTGTGAGCTCATGGATGATGAAAATGGAATCTATTTTATCTAAAGAGCAGAGAATGGATAAATTTGCTGAAGATCTCACCAATAGATGTAATGTTTTTATACAGGTAGTTGCATCTTCTTACTTAGAATATTTTGGGGGTCATTTCTTTGTTAATCCAATGTATAGAAGTTACACTTTGAAAAAACTGGAAAGGATATGTTTTTATTTTTAAAAACTGAAATTGATTTGATTATGTTTGGATCTGTGTGATTTATTAATTTAGATATTCTAATACGTGCAATTATATTCCCTTCAAAGCATGACTTTTTTGCTGTATCCATAAGTTTTGATATGTTGCATTTCCATTATCCTTTAGTACAAAATATTTAAGAAATTTTATTGTGATTTCTTTTTCAGTCTGTGGGCTATTTTGAAAGATATTTTTTAATTTCTAAAGATATGAGGATTTCCTAGTTATTTTTTTATTACTGATACCTAGAAATACTAAGGTAATTTTGGTATTTTGAAATTTGTTGAGATTGGCATTATGGCCCAGCCTATGGTCAAGTTTGGTAAACATTTCGTGTATACTTGAAAAGAATGTGATTTGCATTTGTTGGTTGTAGTGTTCTGTATATGTCAAGTAGGTCATGTTTGTTAATGATTTTGTCTGCATATTGTATCAGTTACTGAGAGAATTGGGTTAGACTCTCCCACTGGCATTGTGGATTTGTCTGTTTATCCTTTGTCAGTTTTTTGTTTTATGTATTTCGAGACCAAGTCAGTGCATAACATTCAGGATTGTTATTATCTTCCTGGTGAATTGAACCTTTTATCATTATGAAACGTCCGTTTTATCTCTAGTAATGTTCTTTGTCATAGGTCTTGTGTGTGTGATAGTAACATAACTATACCAGTTTTCTTTTAGTTAAGGTCTACATGGTATGTCTTTTTTGATCCTTTTACTTGCAACCTGTTTGACTCCTTATATTTAATGTCTGTCTCCTGAAGCAGCATAAATTTTTCCCCAGTCTTACAATCTTTGTTTTTTCATTATTTTTTTTAAAGATTTTATTTATTTATTTATTTAGAGATATAGTAGGGGGGAGGAGCAGAGGGAGAGAAAGAAGCAGACTGCGCTGAGTGCAGAGCCCGACGTGGGGCTCAGTCTCACAACCCTGAGATCATGACCTGAGCTGAAGCCAAGAGAGTCGGATGCTTAACCAACTGAGTCACCCAGGCACCCCTTTTCATTATTTTTCCTGTCATTGCTGGTGTATTTGGATTTAAAGTAGCACCTGACTAATTGTTTTCTCTTTGTCTCACTTGTTCTATGTCCCTTTTCTTTTTCTTTCTTCCTTTCTTTTGAATTAGTTTAATCATTTTATTTCTCCCAATATTAGGTTTTTAATTCTGTATTCTTTTATTGTTTTTTTAATCGTTACTCTAGAGATTTTAAGATGCATCATTTAACCTTCAACTCCAGAATAAATGAGTAGTTTTATCTCTTTCTAGACAGTGTAAGGATCTTAAGCCACCTTAATTCTGTTTATCCCCTTCTTACCTCTGCTGCTGTTGTTTATTTTTATTCTCTATATTAAACTTCACAAGGTGGTATTATTGCTGCTGTTGTTTTTATAATCAGGGTCCATTTAGCTTTATCCACATATTTATCTGTTCTGTCCTTCCTGCATCTCTCCATCCTTCTATTTGTGGAATACCTGTTAGTATTTCATTTAAAATGTCTTTCTGATGGTGAATTATCACCACTTTTTCTCTGAATATCTTATTTCAATTTCATTTTTGACAGCAGTTTTGCTACATATAGAATTCTGGGTTGGCAGGATCCCTTACCTTCCTCCCCCCTTTATCATCTTCTGGCTTCTTTTATTTTTGTTGAGAAGTCAGCTGCCAGTTTTGTTGCTTTTTTTGGTGAGTCTTTCTCTAACTGCTTGTAAGATTTACTTTTTCGTTTTTAGCAATATTACTAGGTACCTAGGTGTAGTTTCCTTTGTGCAGTGCTGCTTGGGATTTGTAGAGCTTCTGGAATTTGTGGAAAATTCTCAGCCATTAACTTTGCAAGTGCTATTTCTATGTTCTTATATCTCTTGCTCTCTTTCTTTCTCTTCAGCTGTGTCTAATCTGTTAAACTATTTACTGAATTCTTAATTATTTTACTTTTTAGCTTTTTGTTTCTTATAATTTCCAGTTCTTCTTCTGAATAAATTTTGTTTCATTTCCTTCAACATATTCAGCATAATTATTTTGAAACCCATGTCTAATAATTTCATTATCTGGATATTTCTGTTATCTATTGTTTCTCTGGTTTTTGGATATGTCTTATTGCTTTGTATGCCTGGTTATTTTTTATCATGTATGGCACATTGTATATGAAAAACTGTGGATATAATTGAAAGATCTGGATATTGTTTTTTTTTTCTCCAGAGAGGATTTAATAATCTTTGCTTCTGATGTACAGCTAGTCTAGGACAACTAGCAACCCAGATCACCTCAACCCAGTCATGGATTGAGAGGATTTGAAGTGGGACCTAAATCCTTTGATGGCTGTTTTTTTTGAGTTCACCCTTACTTTTTAGGTAGTTTTTCAGGATCTGAATTCAGAACCTAGGTTTTACAGGACCTCCATCCCTCTTTGATGGGCCATGAACTCCTTATTTTTATCCCCCTTTCCTTTCCGTGAGTTGTTGGAAGATAATGTTTGACTGCTGTCTTACTTTCTTTTGGAAAAGGCAGCTGCCTCTTAAGGGAAGGCAGCCACAAGTGCCCGGCTCACTTCTCTGGGTTTCTGTCTTCTAGATTTGGGCCTTATATTTCCTTATCTTTGTGGTAGTTCTTTGATGCCTTCTAAGAGATTTAAAAAAATGTTTTGCCCAGATTTGCTAATCGTTCTTTGTAGGAAGACTGGTCCAAATTGTTTATTCTGCCATTAACAGAAACAGACCCTAGACCTCTCCCCTCCCCATTTAGATTTTTAAAAGACATCCTTTGTATATATCTTTCACAAATTAATGACCATTTGGGAATGGTGTGATATCAACCCATGAGTTCTTTCTCCTCCATTACCCTTCAAAAAAGAAACTCCCTTTTTCTCCCTGCCTTAGAGTTACACTTTTGCTGTTCCTTGTTTTTGCTTTTTAACTTTTTGAAGTGTTGTGTTAGGGCCGAGTCTGGTGTAATAGTCCTGTAGCTGACAAGGTAAGACTTGGGGCTCTTCCCTGTGTGTATGTCCCAAGCTTTAGTCTTATTGTCTGTCACCTTTCTTAGGATGCTACCTTCTCTCTCATGTCTTATTCTTTAATTTAGCTCATCTCTTTATCACAGAGCTATTATTGGTTCAGAGAAACTCCTCCCTCCCACCCACATTGACTGTCACTCCTTTACTGAGTCACTGTTACACTGATGGGAGAGTACTTTATCTCTCACATATGGTAGAGGAAAAGAAAGAAGGTTGAGAATCACTACCATATGGTTTCTGCCCAGCTCCTTGGGTATATCCACAATAGTATGGTTTAGGTTCATCTCTAGACTGTACATGTATCTTTTTTTGGTCCTTTATAAACCCAAAGAATCTTTTTTTTTTTTTTTTT